GCTCAGAGGAGCCTGTGCTCAGGGGGCCTAGAGGAGCCTGTGCTCAGGGGCCCTAGAGGAGCCCTGTACAGCTGAGAGAGCTGTCCTGCACTGAAGAAGGGAGACCTTGACTACCTGCTTCCTGATCCTGATCCCAAGTTGTAACCTGTTAACTTCGCTAATAAACCCCATAATTGTGAGATGGTCTGTGAGTTCTCTGTGGCCATTGCAAGGAGTTAACAAACCCAGCAGAGAACTAGAAAGTGCTGTGGGAGGGATGACTGGTGTCAGAATTGTTAAAAAGGTTGGAGGGTGGAGATATGTATGTTTGACCTCCACCTCATAGGAATCAGCCTTAGGCTGATGCTGGTGGCGATTCTTCCCGCCCTGAAGTTAGAGGACCTCTGATGCCACCATGCCATTTTTACACTACTCTAAACCAGTTGATTGTAGTATAATAAAGAAAATTTGTGTGTTTACTTCTTCCCTGTGATAAGTGTTTACTGTCTCCTAGTTGTTTTAAAGCAGCTTAATTATATGCATTAATACCGAGGAGAAAAAAACAAATGTGCTGTATAAACTTAACTGATTTCTGATGTTATAAACCATTATAGAGGATTATCTTTTCATTTAGGGACAGTTACAGTCAGGTTGTTAGAGAAATATTCTCTGTGCCTTTTGTGGTTTTGATTATGATTCAGAAGTACCTTGATAGACCATTATGAATAGTTTACCTAAGCAGTTGCATAATTATACGTGTTTAATTTTTAGGAAAACATGGGAGCTGTTCATTAAGACTCAGTTTATTTTTGTTCGCTACATTAATACTTTTGTCTCATTTTAGATTTAAGGATGTGAAGATGTACTGGCATAATAAAAAGCAATAAGTAACTTTACACCTGGCATATTTAATTACAGTACAGTATTTATTAAATAATTCACCACTCTTCTACATAGCTTCTAAATTTTACAGTTAAGCTCCCTTTTTTCCACTTCAGATTGCTTAGAGAGGAGAATAATGCAACTTGAGTAAATGGGAGCCATTTCTGATTTCTCCTCAGTAATATTTTAATAAACGATTATAGTCTGAACATTTATCTTATCTTTGGTTGATATTTGAAAATCTAAGAGCTTTACATAAACGTTTGTTCGTTTCCTTCGTTGATTCTGACCTATCGTCAAATCTCCGTTTTGGCTCTCAGTTTTGTTGTGTGTTGTTAGCCAGCCTTCCAGTGTCTGCCGTGACTTGGAAGAGACGTCTTTTTTACATCTAGTTTTTCCAGACATTTCTGTGGCTAAGGTCGGTCACATGCTCACAGGAGCTGACTGCTCCTACTCCAGGAGCTCGTGCCCGTGTAGATTGCTGGTTCGGCCATCTGCACATGTTCTACCAGTACTCTCATTTGGCTCACCTGTTCATTTTGTCTGACCAGACAGGTTGTCAGCTTCCACACCCATTCACTAAATAATGGGTCTTCCTAAGGTTTTGTTCCGTGCTCTTCGTGGGTAACCTTCTCTACACATGTGATTGCAGTTACCTCCTGTACGCCAGTGACTCTCACATCTGCGTTTTCTCTTAACTATTCTGTTAACTGTTAGGCTCCTGCATCCCAACAGCATACCACTACAGCCATCCAGACATCAAGTCAGGCTGATTTTACACGGTTGCTCTGTTTTCAGCCTCACACCCTCATAATTCATGGTGCAACCAGAGCTAGAGACATCTTTCTAAAACATAAATGTGGGCATGCCATTCCTCTGCTTAAATTT